CGGAGCAAAAACCATTTGAGGCAACGAATACCCAGAGGCGGACGCGGGGAGTCGAACCCCTCGACTGCTTTCGAAACATGACTTCAGGTTCCTACGTATGTTGACGCAGTTGTGCACCGTGCACTACGTCCGCTTCCTGCACCTCGTTGTAACCTTGCCGTCATTGCGAGTTTATAGGGACTGGGGAAAAAACATCGTGAAATCATATATACAGTGGGGACGCGGGAGTCGAACCCTTCGACTGCTTTCGGGGTATCAAAGTCGTGCTCCTATATTGATGCAGTTGTGCACCGTGCACTACGTCCCCTTCGCACCTCCCATCATCGCTCTGCCCGTCAAGCTTCAAGCCTCGCGCAGGAATCAGAATCTCGGCCGCCGCACCTCCTCGCACGGGTTTGTCAAGCCATGACAAGTGAGCGAAGGGCGAGTCGGCTCCGCGGTGTCGTGCCGCCGCTGACGCACTTCCGGAATTCCGGCAGAAAGGAAAATGAACAGGAAGGGGAAGGAAGGGGAATGGACAGACGGACGGCCGGCGGTGCATCCGATTTCTGATTCTGAATCGTGCATCGTGAATCGCAGATCGCTGGGCGCGGGCGCCGATTACGATGCGGCGCGTGAATGCGAATGCACGGGCGAACGCTGCGCGGGGGCGTGCGCGTGGCGGCGGCGCAGCGAGGTGCGATTTGGGCGTGGGAGTTGGGTGCGGGGAGGTGGGCGCGCGGGCGCAGGCCGGGCGTGAGGCGGGCGCGCGGGCAGCAGAGGGAGGAGGGGTGAGACAGGGCGGTAGAGGGGGATCGCGGGGGCGTCACGGTCATGGTTGAACGCGTACGGCACGATCTGCGCCGGCGACTCAGCGTAGGTCGCCGGGAAATGGGCCCATACAAAAAAAATAAGGATTTAGACTTAGCATTTTTGTGACGCAGCCGGGGAGTTGATTACGCGAGGATCGCGATTGCATTTGTGGTGCCGCGGATCAGCCAACCCCCTCGATCGTCGACCCTAGCCCTGGGATAAATGCCGGACTCGTCAAGCACACTCTATCCTCCCCTCCACACCGCCCCCGACAACGATGGCGCTCTACGCCGACATCGACTACCCCTTCCCGCCCCCCGCCCCGACGTCCAGGCTCCACGACTGGCCCTTCGACCCGCGCCCGCGCCCCCACCCCCACACCGCCCACCGCCCGCCCCTCCCGCCGCCCCCGCAACTGCCCCCGCGCATCACCCTCGCCGGCAGCCTCGACCCCACCACCGGCATCTTCTACCGCACGCCCGAGCACCCGCGCCTCCGCACCGCCCAGGCCTGCGACAAGTGCCGCACCCGCAAGGCAAAGGTACTGCCCCTCCTTCCCCGCCTCCCGCCCCGTCGAGTCGCTGACCACGCCTTGCCGCACAGTGCTCCGGCGACCACCCCGCCTGCGCGCGCTGCCTCGCGCGCGGCCTCGTCTGCGAGTACGCCAAGGAGGGCCGCGTGCGCGGGCCCAACAAGGCGCCGCGCCCCGCCTCCACCTCCTCCGCCCTCTCCCACCCCGCCTCCCCCGCCAGCTCCACCCCTTGCACCGCCTCTGCCCCATCTTCCACGCTGCAGCCGGGCCTCGCGCTGCTCTCCTCGCCCCTACACCAGCAGCAGCGCCGTCGCCGCCGCACCGCGACTCTCCCGCCGGGCGCCGCGCCACCGCTCGCGTCCACGCGGCCGCTCGCCCTCCCCCACCCCCACGCCCACCACACGCAGACGGGGGCAGAGGCGAAGCGCCGCTCGCTGCCCGCGGCGCTGGGCGGGCTGCGCCTGCTTGGCTCGCCGTACGCCGGTGCGGGCGGAGAATACGTCCGGCACGGGGAGCAGGCGCGGTATGGCGATGATGACGGCGAGGCGCGGTATGCTGGTGATCACGGCGAGGGAAGGTACACTGACGCCGACATGCGCGCCCACCACGGACACCACGGCGAGGAGGACCGCGCGTCGCGCCGTGCGAGCTACGACAGCTACGCGGGCGAGGCGGGGTACGATGCGTTCGCGCGCGCGCTCGACGGGGGGCCCGCGCACCACCCGCACGCGCACCAGTTGGGGGCGGCGCATTCCTTCGCGGGCGGAGACAAGCATTACGGGCATGGGCACGACTTTGCCTTCGGCCACGAGCAACACCACCAGCTGTTGGACTCAGAGCAGCACCACGACCACCAGCACCTCGACCAGCACCACCAGCAGCAGGAGCATCACTCCCCCCACTCTGCCAACCCCGACCAGTTTCAGTTCTCTCCACACCCGCACCAAGCCCACCCGCCCACCCTGCACCTCGACGTCGGCCTCGGGCTCGGGCTCGGACTAGGACTCGGCCGCCCACCGTCCTCGGTGTGCGGGAGTGGCGCCAGCGGCAGCGGTAGCGGGACGAGCTCTGGATCACGCGAAGGCGATGGCGAGGCCAGCGGAAGTGGCAGCGGGAGCGCAAGCGCGAGCTACGACGGGTCGAAGTGAGTCTCCTCTCTCCTCCTTCGCTTCTATCGAGCGACCCCGCGCTGTGTCGTCCCATTCGTTACGCCTGCCCGCCCTCTTGCGTCCTTTCGCGGTGGGTCGCGGTACGCGTGTCGCATCGCGTCGCGTGGTGTGTCCCTGCTTCTCGTCCTCGTTTCTCGTCCTCTCGCGGCGGCACGTCGGCCCCCTTACTAGACAGCGCCGACGTCTCTCTGCGCCCTCTTGCTTTCTCTTCTCTCCTGCGTAGCGTCGAAAGTGGGTCTTGCTCCGTCCGTCTCGCATTGGGGCCCAACGCGGCACCGGCCAGCGCGCGACGCATGGCTTTGCGCCGCCCGTCGAGTTCTTGTCATCATTGTGATTCCGCCCTCCCTGCCCTCCTTGCCTCCCATCTTCCTGCCCGAACCCCCGCTGACCGCGCTCTCGCCCCACAGCCCGCCGTCCGCCGTCTCCACCGCCTTCCCGCTCCTGCCGTTCGCCCCCCACGCCCCTGCCCCCGCGCAGCACCTGACGCCGCGCCCCGCGTCGCAGGGGTTCGACGCGCCGCCGCTCCCCAGCGCGTATTCGCCACATCCCTATTCTTCGCCCCATCCACACTTGTTTCCGGAGTCGCCACACCCACACCCACATGCATACTCCCCGCACCCGCACGCGCACGCGGGCGCGTACGAGGGCGCGCACTCGCACCCGGGCGCGCAGGGGTACAAGCGCCCGCCGCCGCAGCAGCAGCAGCAGGGGTACGAGCACCAGCAGGGGTACGACTCGCCGTTCGACGCGCCGCACCTGCACTACGGCCCGGGGCAGGGGCACGGGCAGGCGTACGGGAGGCCGCATAGCGCGGGCGGGGTTGGGCATGCGCGGCGGCAGCATGGGCAGCACGGGAGTCCTTTTGAAGGGCACGCGCATTCGAGCCCGTTTGAGGGGCACTCGAGTCCGTTCGAGGGACACGCGTCGAGTCCGTTTGAAGGACACTCGAGTCCGTTCGAGGGACACTCCAGCCCGTTTGAGGGCCACGCGCACGCGCAGTCGAGTCCGTTCGAGGGCGCGTACGACTTGCTGGCGATTGGCGGGGGTGCGGAGGATGCGGAGGACGCGGACATGGAGGGCGGCGGCGATGTGGAGGGCGCGGGGATGGAGGGGATGATGCACATGGAGGGGGTGCAGGTGGATGGCGAGATGCATATGCACATGGGGATGGGGATGCAGGGCGCCCATGCACAGGCGCAGGCGGGCCTTGGGCTTGGGCTCGGGCTCGGGCTCGGCCTGCCGCTGGGCTTTGGCGGGGGTATGCCAGGCGGCGGCGGTGGGCGGCTCCGCGGGTGGGTCGCGCCTGGGCCGGACGTGGACGTGCATACAGGCGTGGGCGGGGATGGTCACGGTGGGGAGGGCGCGGTGACGGGGGGGACGCCGGTCGTGCAGGCGCAGCATGTGGGGCGCGCGCGGTCGGGGGGCGTGTTGCCTGGCGCGGGCGAGCGGGAGCGGGAGCAGGAGAGGGTGCAGCGGCGCGTAAGGGCGGCGACGGTGGGGGGGCGGGGGTTCTAGGCGCGGTGCATCCGGTGCATCCTATCCACTATCCACCACTCCTTCGACCTTCGGCGCGCGGACCAGTCTACCCACCTACGCCCTTCGACAATTCGACCCGACTGCATCGCTACCTCTCATCGTGCCGCCGCCGCTCCTTCATCCTGCATCCTATATCCTGTATCCTGCATCCTTCAAAACCACAATCTACCTTCCCCGTTCCTTCAATTCCATCTCTGCACGACACGGCACGTACGCACCTACGCCCCCACTCCCCCTTCACGATACACGCACGTCCCCCCTCACGATGCGACACGATACGCACACGATTCGCTATGTTCTTTTTGGTGGTCCGCTTCGGGCATGGACTTCAGTCTTTTCTTTTGGTACTTGCAGATGTAGATTATCCCGGTGGGGTCCTCGACCGCGGGTGTCAATGTGGTTGCAGGGGGAGGGGGCGGGGCTGTAGCATATGGTGTAGGTGTAGGCGGTGCCAGTTGGCATTGTAGGATCTCCGCGTCGGGGTGGGCGGGCGCGATAAAATGTATGATATTGGGTTTGGTCTCGTTCGATGGAGGGTGCGCTCTTGAGGCCCTTGGAGGGATCTCGCAGACCAAGATACAGAGGCAAATGCCGGGGGGAGGGGGGGAGAGAGCGGGGAGGAAGGAGCGGGGAGCGCGAACGGATCAGGAAAGATCAGGAAGCGCTTCGCGTATTGGTGATTGATCTGCGGATTTGATTCGCGGAGGGCGTTACGGCATGTTCATGTTCGATTTTGTGGTTCAACTTTTCCGGGCATGGTTTATACCGCAGTTTATTCAGCCATTCCGTGGTATTGAGAGACGATGTTACGTGGTTGAGCCGAGGTGAGGTGGATGTTCTCTTGTTTTTGTTCAATAATTGATTCAACCTCATGTGATATCTGAAGTTGGTTGCAATTTGCCGGTCCCCGCCGCATGTCACGGGGCAACGAGCACGAAGCCTCAGATCTCAGAACGGGAGGGAGGGAATAAGCGGACGTGGTGTATGGGACACGCATGTCTGAATTGGTGGCGATTCATGTAGCCCAGTCAACAGTTGGACGGGGTTCGATTCCCCGCGTCCGCGTGCACCGCAGGTACATTTTTTTTCCCTCGCGACGAATTGGTTGACGGGTTCGATTCCCTGCTGCGCAGTAAGACTTCCAAGTTTCCAGTTCTTTTTCCCGGCGCCCTCGTAAAGGCCTCCAATCAGGCTCTCGGGACCTTGAATGCCCTGCCAGACTTCACTTGATGGGCACTTTCGATATCTTCAATGATTTTCTACTTACCATCGTCCGGAGCTCAGGCTCTTCCGTATCGATTCTACTACGAGTTTTCGTGGCTCCCCCTGGAACTGTGGGCCCAGGGCTTAGGTGGAGTTACTTGATCTCGAGTCAATTGTACGTACCTCGCACATCACCTTCTAGCTCATTAGATTACGCGCCGACGGGGACCTGTGCGGCGTTGTGGAAAGCAAGCATCTCGCGCCACGAGATGCAGCGATGCAATAACTCTGTCCGCCACGAGATAAATGCGTTCCAGCCTACCGTTGAGCCGGTCTGGGATGGATATACTAATCTTACCTCGTCAGCCAAGTGTAACGCTGAGACGCTCAATTCCACGATCGATCGACTGGACGGGACTAGAATGCACGATTGCCAAGAATCTCCACAATTCACGGCGGTGCGCATTATTGAATCATCGTTCTGGCGAGGTAGTCCCGGATTCCCGGGCGCCTTGCCTCTATATCATATGAGGTTCAACATGCCGATTCTATATAACTCTGGTCCAATATTTAAATATTTATTCTTGATGTTTAGAAAGAGCCTGAGAAAAAATGCCGAAAGGAAATGGCAGTGATCGATTGACCCGGAGGTTGCCGCTGTTGCTTGATCCACAACCACCATCAGCAGGCTCTGGCTGCAATCCGGCATTTCTCCCGCGGACTCAATGCCATCGACATCCCAAACTCGCTGGTAATCGACAGTGACAGCGCGAAAGAGCTACCGGTCTTCAACAAAAAGCTAGTAGCTAGCAGCAGCTAGTCCGAGCTAAACCCCTCGGTGTTCCAAGCTTCGGGGACGATTCTGTGGGACGTGCACTCATTCCTTCAAGGAACTACCAAAGTTTGTGTCTTGGTTTCCCTCCAGTCTGTAAGGTCGCTTGTCGCATTAACTTTGGATCAAACGTGTCCAGGCCTGCTGCGACAGTCGCGTTCCCCCATGCACTCGTTCTAGCTCGTCGACCCCTGGCCCTTAGGACCTTGACTGCCACACATGCTTCAAAAGCCATTCGGTGAACGAACGCCACCCGAGGCAATCAGTCGAACCAATTGTACGCAGCCACCTTGCGGCCATTCATTGGCGCCGCGTGGCGAGGTGCTATTAGAGGTCGGTCGGTCAGCACTGACGCTGTTGGCGCCTCGTACCTGAAGTCCTCGTTTTCTTGCTCTGTTCGCTGTGCGCTCGCCGCCCCTCGGATCTCGCTGAATTGTCATCGGGCGTCTCGGCCAGTTGCAACGCTCAACTCAGTCTCAGCCACCCACCCAAGCTACCCAGAGCTCTTTCCCGGATCCCCACCTACATAGTGCTCTCCTTCGTACCTCCAATTTGAGGAAAGGATAAGGTTTGGCTTTTAGGATTTAACCTCAATCCCTAGCGTTCTTTAGATAACGGCATGCATGGCCCGGGGCGCACGTGTGGTCTTCGTCGCTTCTCATTTGCGGCGTTGATTCCCCTTTTGGGGATTATGGTTGGGCCTGCTCGGGCTCTAGCACTCGAGGCGTTCAAGGTAAATTCAAGCCCGCGTCTGCGAACTTTACTATTCGCTCGACGCCGAATTCGATAGCTCCCAACCCTTCCATTCAGAACCTTGCTCTGGACTCGGCTTCGTCGCTGAATACAAGGACGTGGTGCGCCACACAATCACATTGAAGTAATATAACAACTAATAGAACATAAACCCTCGTCAACTGACAATCTATGGACCAGCTGTCGCCTCACTGGATGCGGAGCCGTGATCTCTGTCGACCCATCCTGGGCTTTTCCCAAGTGTATGCCGGAATAAATCATGAAAGCGCCGTGGAAAACGGGTGCGACGCCTAATTTTCATTGCCACCGCTTCCTGCATGGGCACAGCCATTTTGGGGCCGATAGACTTTCAGCTACGTCGCCGATTGATATCACAGCTCGCGCTGCAGCATGAAAAAATTGGCGATTCGCGCGGGCTTCAAGAATGTTAGCTATGTAAGAGCTGCACGCGTGGTAAGTAGGATGATTCTCGGGGGAGACCACGTAAACGGTGTGTCAGTATGTATGCGCATCTAAAATTCTGCCTGAATATCTATCGCCGGAGTGTTTCGAGTAGCGTCTTGTATCCCCGGATCGGGTGAGTAGCTCTCTGATTCAAGACTTCGTGTCATTTAGAACGAAAGCCCGCGAGAGTCCAAGCTCAGGCTGTTCCCCTGGCCCCCGACTTTCTCGAAATTCAACCTGTTTCCAATCCGCCGCTAACCGGAAAACAAGCGCAGTGGCGTCCAGGATATTCTCAAAGTACACAGACAAAGAATTACGGGTCTAGAACATGGGAAAACTTTGGATCTCGTAGTTGAGCTCAGTGCGAATCAGACTCAGTCAGACTCAGATTGAACCAGTCACGTGGCTCAAATCAACTGGTTCACGATTTTTTTTTGCTAAGCACTGTTGCCCAAGTGAGAAAAAGTACATGAAGCGCGGGCTTTGCGAGCTATGTATATATTCATAGGCCTCCTGGATCCTCTGCAATCCAGTCTGACGATGTCCGGCTGGCGGCTGGCGGATCATCCCAAGATGATGAGACTCGCTAAGCCTCAGCCGGTCCGCCAGGCGGCACGCTGCAATATTCACTTCTGAACCACTATGCCATTTGAGTGCGGGTCAATTCACCCCTTTTATTCTAAGAGTTCCTAGGGAAGCCTTGTTGCATATCGCCGGCGTTCATGGCTAAGCGCGCCTGCTCATCAATGCTCAGTGCAGACATTGATCCGCGGCACCGCGAATGCCGAACCCGAGCAACCAGCCACTGCGTAAACAACTTCCCGAGGCGCAGCATCTTAATTATAACGATGCGCGCCCGAACAGCGAGGTTAAAACTTTTTCTCCGATGGGCACACTCGCGCACTCGCGGGAGACGCCGGCGACTCATTGTAGGTCGCCGACGCAGCAGATCGTGCCGTACGCGCTGCCATGGCATGCCGGCGCGAACCTCAATCAGTATGTACATATATCTAGCGCGCGAGTCCTAGTCAGACCGCATCCTGCCGACCTCATTTTCACGCCCGGCCCGCGTGCGACGTTCAGCCTCCCCAACGCGCACCCCAAGCGCCCACGCCCAAATAGAGTCACCATGTGGCCGCCGCTACACGCTGCGTCCAGTACGCGATCGAGCGCTCTCCTTCGTTGATTCGATCGTCGATTCATGCGCCGAATCGTAACAGAACTTCACCGGTACAACAGATATAATCGACCGACAGCAGATCGCGATTCACGGAGGCCGGCGCTCCAGTCTTTTTCGATATTCTGTCTAGAACTCTGGAAGCCCAGCGCGGAACGTGGATGGACACCGCGGAGCCGAGTCTCTGCTTCTTCAACCTTTGATTACATGGCAATGCGAGCCTCGACCTTTCCCGAATTATCTTGTGTGCGGGTTTGAGATATAAGTACACTGCGATAGGTAACATATCAAAGTAGGGTTCATGAAGTTTAAATTGCGGATGTAGTGCACGGCGCAGGATTGCACCCAGTCATTTTGTCTGTGTTGTACGGTAAGCAATTGATCACGAGGGGTTTGACCCCCCGCGTCAGCCTCCCGGATGCACAATGTTTTATGCTGACTAGATCAATCTCAGAGCTCCAAAAAGTTTATGTGGGACTCTTGAATGCTGATTCGACGACGAATTCCAGGTTCGCTATCTGAGGGCGTTGGCTTCCTAATTGGCCAGTTCGCCTCGAATGGATGCATAGTTGTGTTGGTTATAAATTTGCAGCCTTTGATTATCGGAATAAGTACAAGCGGATAGCAAAGCCAGATCAAGGTTCGTTTACCACGGTTCGAATTTCCTTTGTTATCTGGCACTAGTCTCTTATAAACAGACGCTACAACCAAAAATGTGCTCGTACCTAATCTGGCACTCCTATATAGCAGGCTCCTAGAAGAAAATCCCGAGTGAATTCCTTCTCTCTGCGTTAAGAAATGCAAGGGCTGACTCAATAGGATTCAGTCTCAAGCAATTGACCAGCTAACCGCGGCCCACCATTTCACATATTATTCCCACGGTTGGCCAATACTTATCAGTTGATGTTAGTATTATTCCCGATTCAATGACCTGTAATATAGACTGTGAAAAATTTCAGAGCATCGGCAGTGCTAGTGATTATCGATTATCGATTATCGATTATCCCCCAAGTTCTGTCTGGCGATCTGGCGAGTTACTTGCGTGCATCTCGGCCACAACTCGGCATTGGCTCGGCACGAAGATCAATATGATCACGAGAATAGTGCGGAAGTTGCCGGCCCTCCTTGATACCCTCCTCCCCATACATAGTAACATACGCTGCCTGCGAACTAGGCGCGCCGTGATTCCGCACGCCCAGCGCCCACCTCCGCCCCCAACTCGTCGACCGCTGTACTTCTGCCCCTACGCTCGCTGCCCATGCATGCAGGACCTCCACGACCCCCGCTCGCCGCTACCGCCGCACATGCGCCCGCCGCCCCGGGTGCCCCAACGCCATCCTCTTTGGTACGCCGCCCGTCGTACACAGACTGGCGACAGGTTGCTAACCAGACTGCACAGGCCCAACTCCACTAATCCACGTTGCGCTCGCGTCGACCGAGAGCAAGAGCAGCGACGCCGCTGCGACACACGCCATTCGCATCTCCCGAGTCCATGATCGTCGGCGCCCGACCACCGCGACGCTCCCTCGCCGCCTCCCTGCCCGTCGTGCAACTGCGCCGCGCCGTCCATCGTACAGGATACGGACTCGCTACCTCCGCCCACGCCAGCCCGCACCCCGTACCTGCCCGCGCGGCCGTCGCGCGTCGTCACAAGCG